GTTCATTTACGACAGAGAGAGAGAGAGCGAGAGAGGCTGTGTATGTATGAATTACCACCGTTTTGCCGCGTTTCTCTATTAACAGTAAAGCTGTGGCTTTAATTCCTTTAGAAACAATGATGTTACCAGCTCCTTGTTGAGAAAGATAATGTAGCTCTTGAGCGATTAAGCTATTTAGTTGATAAAACTGCGGGGCAGCGCTAAAAAGTTTGTTCCTGAATGTCTGAGTTCGGCCGCAACGTGATCTGTGTGTGTGACTGCACTTAACATCAAACTGCTTCTGTTTCACACAAATTCTGGCACAGACGTGCATGTTCGGCTAGAGTTGCTTTGAACTCGTGCATCTTCGGAAGCGGAGCTGCGCTGAAAGTTACAAAAAATGTCGTGCACACCGCCACTCGAAACGACGTCGCGCGCACTCAAAAGCGAACTTCCGCCAACACCGCGATGACGTCATATTTGCCGCGCGCACCTAAGCGAACTTGCCGACGCGTCGAGTATAATCAGCCTTAAATCAGCCTTAAATCAGCCTTGAGCGTGTGTGCGTTAGATACAGTGAAGACAGCGCGTTAGTTTAGAACGTAGAGAGTGTGTTAATTTGTGCGATGATAACCTACCAGCAATGTAAATGATTTTTTTAATATATTAGAATGAGTACATTACAATATAAATTTATTAGAACGAGTACATTATTATTTATGGGCTTAAAAACAAGATGCAAACAATCAGAATATTGTACCTGGTGGGGAGTGCCCAATGTAAACATGAAACATATGCCATTACCTATATTGTACTGTGGTACAGTTCTGGAGGCCCTTCATAATGCAGAGGTCAGCTGCCTGCTCTGCTAACAGTTAGAAATGGCACTACAGTAAGCAGTGTTTAATAAACAGCTGTTTTACTAAATTCTGCTGAGGTGAAATTCAGTGCAGTCCCGTATCGCATCGTGGCCTCTGTATCGTGATACGTATCGTAACTTTGCTGGTGATACACAGCCCTTGTACACGTCAGTCCTCACTTTCCCTGGGAATCGAACCTGTCACCTTAGCGTTGCTAGCACCATGATCTACTGTTTGAGCTCAAGGATGGCTAGTTTGGGTTTCATGTTTACATTTGTGCAACTGGCAGACGCTTTTATCCCAAGCGTGCACTTGCACTGCATTTAAGGTATACATTTTTTCAGTTCATGCATTCCTTGGGAATCGAACCAGTGACCTCACGGTTGCAAGTGTCATGTTCTACTGTTTGCTCTACCATGATGCTGGTTTAGGTTTCACATTTACATTCAAACATTTGGCAGATGCTTTTATCTGAAGTTTTGCATTCAAGGTATATAGTTTTCAGTTCATGCATTCCATGGGAATCGAACCAATGACCTTGCAATTGCTAGCACCATGCTCTACTGTTTGAGCTACACATTTACATTCATGCACTTGACAGACACTTTTATCCAAAGCCACTCGCACTGCATTCAGGGTTTTTCAGTTCTTGCATTCCCTGGGAATCAAACATGTGACCTTAGTGTTGCTATCAACCATGATTTACTGATTGAGCTCAAGGACGGCTAGTTTGGGTTTGGGTTTCACGTTTACATCCACGCTACTGGCAGACACTTTTATCCGAATCATGCACTTGCACTGCATTTAAGGTATACAGTTTTTCAGTTAATGTATTCCCTGGGAATCGAACCCATGATCTACTGTTTGGGGTTTTGTAATGTTTGATTTCATGTAAACATGCTCATGGATCACGCGATTCCTCAGATGTCAACAAAAATAATTTCAGGAACAGCAAATGCCGTTAAAATAACCTGCTATCGGTGACTGAACTGAGCAAACCTACTAGCCACAAATGTGTCTGATTGCCTGTAAAAGTCTATTTTTATATAACTATGTTTCACTTTGACAATGTGAGGTCACAGTAACCGCAGCACTGCAAAAATGATTTTCTTACTTAGTATTTTTGTTTTGTTTCCTAGTATAAATATCTAAACTTTCTTGAATCAAGATGCATTTACTTGACAAGTAAAATTAAGATATTAAGTCTTGTTTTCTAAAAAACATTATCAAAATGTTGTTAGTTTCTCCTTAAAACAAGCAAAAATATCTGCCAATGGGGTAAGAAAAATAATTCAAATAATTCAAAGGCTAAACAAGATTATTTTTCTTGCTTCATTGGCAGATATTTCTTCTTGTTTTAAGGAAAAACTAACAAAATGTTAAATATTTTTTTACAGAAAACAAGACATAATATCTTAAGTCATTTTACTTGTACAGTAAATTCATCTTTTGATATTTATACTGAAAAAACAAGGAAAAATACTAAGAGAATAATTTTTTGCAGTGAGGTCACAGAGAGAGACACTCATTTCATTGATGCTGCTAAAAGAGAAAAAGAGTCTGACAGTACATTTTCAGTAAGGAAAACATGATAGATGTGATCTGTAAATTTCACTCTCAGACTATCAATTTTAATATTTTATTTCAATCATGCATTAAATGCTGTAGTTAATAACTGCTCACTAAAGATAATTTTGTGGACCCTGATGCATGAGCATGCCGTTCATCATCGTACCTGTCGGACGTGAGTCTGATTCTCTCTTCACTCCCAGAGTGAAACTGATCGTCTTTCTCGTGGAAGTACGTCTCCACGCACTGCTCCTCGAAGTCGTGCAGCTTCTTCTGGTCCTCCTCGGTCAGGAAGAGCTCTGAAAAACAGCAGGACAGTCAGAGCGCTGACAGACGCGAGCAGAAGCGGCGGCGCGAGCGAGAGGTGCGTTACTTGGTCCGTAGGCGCTGCTGTCCTTCTTCCTCTTCCTGCAGATGGAAGACAGCACAGACGCGGCGTGGCTGAGCAGAATCAGCGGCGGCGGAAGCACCGGCTTGTCGTGGTACGCCATGATGAAGTGATAGCGATGGTATTTCCACACCAGGTTGGATATGGACATCACCTGCATGTAGACGTTACTGCGGAGAAACGGCACGCTCAGTTACTCCGTGTCCTAACTAGGGTTGCAAAAAGGTGGAACATTTCCAGTAAATTTCAGAAATTTTGTAACCAACCAAATTTTGTTACCATCTGGATGCCGTTATAGGACACTGAAGGCAACTAAAGCAACATATAAACAAACCTTTGCGCCATGCGCAATAAGTCTTATGAATAAAGGGTAGGATTACAGTGTTTTTAGGAGGGATTAATGTATTAATTTATTTGATGTGTTATGTGAATTGTATTGATATGTGAACTGTACTGTCATTGTTGTATGTAAGCGAGACCTAAGACCAATTTTCAGCCAAGGCTGAACAATAAATTAACTAACTAACTAAACTGTCCAGGATTTTTTGGAATCTTCCAGGAATTTTTAGAAAGTTTCTGGAAATTTATCAGACATTTTTCACCTCTTTGCAACTCTAGTCCTAACTGCACGAGACACGCGATAAAAGGTATCTTTTTCATGTTAATCTGAGTTTTTGTCCTAACTAGCCATGCAAAACGTCTATTTTAGAAACGGTTTCTATTTCCGCGACGTCGCGGCTGGAGCAACAACATACAAACTATATGACAGTAGATAATCTCAGGAGGTAATGTTTATGTGCTTTATTCAAAGTTAAGCGTGTCTAATGTGACTTTGAATATATTTTGCGTGACCTTATAGCCATACGGAAAACAAAAACAGATTTACCTCAGATCTTGAATATAAATGTAAGCAAATATGTACTTTAAAACTGGGAACTCAATGCAAACCAACTAGGGATGTAACGATTAACCGCGGGCTGGTTGAAAATCGATTCAAATATGTGACGATTCAAAACGGTTGAGATGCTAAACAAATCGCGATTCAATTATGTCTTTAGAAAAGTTTAGATGGTTTTTTTCTTTTCATCTGGCCTCTGTATAATGCATATTAAAGTCCATAAAGCATAGCTCTGCTTTGTTTACAGCGGTAACCAAGGAAACACTGTATGCTGCTGTTCATAAGCGCATTGCTGCTTTGTTTACAGCGGTAACCAAGGAAACGCTGTATCATTGCTGTTCATAAGTGCAGCTCTGCTTTGTTTACAGCGGTAACCAAGGAAACGCTGTATCATTGCTGTTCATAAGTGCAGCTCTGCTTTGTTTACAGCGGTAACCAAGGAAACGCTGTATCATTGCTGTTCATAAGTGCAGCTCTGCTTTGTTTACAGCGGTAACCAAGGAAACGCTGTATCATTGCTGTTCATAAGTGCAGCTCTGCTTTGTTTACAGCGGTAACCAAGGAAACGCTGTATCATTGCTGTTCATAAGTGCAGCTCTGCTTTGTTTACAGCGGTAACCAAGGAAACGCTGTATCATTGCTGTTCATAAGTGCAGCTCTGCTTTGTTTACAGCGGTAACCAAGGAAACGCTGTATCATTGCTGTTCATAAGTGCAGCTCTGCTTTGTTTACAGCGGTAACCAAGGAAACGCTGTATCATTGCTGTTCATAAGTGCAGCTCTGCTTTGTTTACAGCGGTAACCAAGGAAACGCTGTATCATTGCTGTTCATAAGTGCAGCTCTGCTTTGTTTACAGCGGTAACCAAGGAAACGCTGTATCATTGCTGTTCATAAGTGCAGCTCTGCTTTGTTTACAGCGGTAACCAAGGAAACGCTGTATCATTGCTGTTCATAAGTGCAGCTCTGCTTTGTTTACAGCGGTAACCAAGGAAACGCTGTATCATTGCTGTTCATAAGTGCAGCTCTGCTTTGTTTACAGCGGTAACCAAGGAAACGCTGTATCATTGCTGTTCATAAGTGCAGCTCTGCTTTGTTTACAGCGGTAACCAAGGAAACGCTGTATCATTGCTGTTCATAAGTGCAGCTCTGCTTTGTTTACAGCGGTAACCAAGGAAACGCTGTATCATTGCTGTTCATAAGTGCAGCTCTGCTTTGTTTACAGCGGTAACCAAGGAAACGCTGTATCATTGCTGTTCATAAGTGCAGCTCTGCTTTGTTTACAGCGGTAACCAAGGAAACGCTGTATCATTGCTGTTCATAAGTGCAGCTCTGCTTTGTTTACAGCGGTAACCAAGGAAACGCTGTATCATTGCTGTTCATAAGTGCAGCTCTGCTTTGTTTACAGCGGTAACCAAGGAAACGCTGTATCATTGCTGTTCATAAGTGCAGCTCTGCTTTGTTTACAGCGGTAACCAAGGAAACGCTGTATCATTGCTGTTCATAAGTGCAGCTCTGCTTTGTTTACAGCGGTAACCAAGGAAACGCTGTATCATTGCTGTTCATAAGTGCAGCTCTGCTTTGTTTACAGCGGTAACCAAGGAAACGCTGTATCATTGCTGTTCATAAGTGCAGCTCTGCTTTGTTTACAGCGGTAACCAAGGAAACGCTGTATCATTGCTGTTCATAAGTGCAGCTCTGCTTTGTTTACAGCGGTAACCAAGGAAACGCTGTATCATTGCTGTTCATAAGTGCAGCTCTGCTTTGTTTACAGCGGTAACCAAGGAAACGCTGTATCATTGCTGTTCATAAGTGCAGCTCTGCTTTGTTTACAGCGGTAACCAAGGAAACGCTGTATCATTGCTGTTCATAAGTGCAGCTCTGCTTTGTTTACAGCGGTAACCAAGGAAACGCTGTATCATTGCTGTTCATAAGTGCAGCTCTGCTTTGTTTACAGCGGTAACCAAGGAAACGCTGTATCATTGCTGTTCATAAGTGCAGCTCTGCTTTGTTTACAGCGGTAACCAAGGAAACGCTGTATCATTGCTGTTCATAAGTGCAGCTCTGCTTTGTTTACAGCGGTAACCAAGGAAACGCTGTATCATTGCTGTTCATAAGTGCAGCTCTGCTTTGTTTACAGCGGTAACCAAGGAAACGCTGTATCATTGCTGTTCATAAGTGCAGCTCTGCTTTGTTTACAGCGGTAACCAAGGAAACGCTGTATCATTGCTGTTCATAAGTGCAGCTCTGCTTTGTTTACAGCGGTAACCAAGGAAACGCTGTATCATTGCTGTTCATAAGTGCAGCTCTGCTTTGTTTACAGCGGTAACCAAGGAAACACTGTATCATTGCTGTTCATAAGCGCCACCTGCTGGCAGAGAGTGAATCTTCATCTCATTCATTTTTTATGTATAGTTTAATAAAACAAAATTCAGACCATTCTGTTTTTGCTTCAAATTTTGAAATTATACAATCTAATTTAGATTAAAAACTTCTCATGTTGCATGTATGCAGCATCTTTGTTTGGATCGTGATTAAAATGCAGTGGTTGCCTCTAATTTTAAAAGGAAAGAGCACAGACAAAGCCTTAGTTTGTTTATATGAAGAGATTTCTTTTATTTGTGTTACTTATTTGATTTGGGGTTTGTTTTAAAATGTCAATTTAGTTTTGTTTTATATTTCAATTTCACAAAGAAACGTGCAGCATTTTGTCAAAGCAATAATAAAAGGACACATTTTCATTTACTGTATAATTTGTCTTAAATCTCATTTTGAGTGAATCGTTACATCCCTAGAAACAACGAGTGTATTCCATAAAGATGGTATCAGTCACTCAGTATGTACATTCAATAAAGTTAAAAAGGTTTATGAGTTAGATTATAAACTTTTATAATTAATTATAATTATAATATAATTATAAATCCATTTAGTTGTGAGTACAGAGCGCTTCCAGAGAGGCTCCGCCCACACACGCTTCTGATTGGCTGTGATATTTGATTGATTCTGTTGCGTCTGGTGTGGACTAGGGATGCACGATATATCGGCCACCATATCAGTATCAGCTTTCATATATAAAGAATTATCGTATCGGCCAAAATTTTCATATTGGTGCATCCCTAGTGTGGACACACAAATTGCTTGTCGCTGGAATCTTGTTGCGTCGCGTGTAGTTAGGACACGGTGTAATGCTGACCCTAGCAGCGGTATGGTCACTCACTTGAAGAAGGCAATGAGCAGGTTGACCATCAGAATGTACTGGACAAACAGATAGACGGCCTGCAGCAGCGGCATCAACCACACACCCGTCGTACACAGCTCCTTCGCGTGATCCTCGCTCGAGTTCGCACACACTGCCAACACACACACACGCCATCACTAGATCATCATCAGAACAACAACACTGCATCATACGAGCTGATTCTGAATGAAATCCAATACTAATTTTCTGGCACTGATTCCAAAAATAGTGTCTGTTTTGCTCATGTCACATTTTCTCACAAAATTTCATAGCATTTTTGCATTCGAGAATCATTTGTGTGGTGAAGAAGTCTCACATTCTCCCTTAATCAGCAGAGAAACGGCACAAACGGGTGATTCCTGTCTGAATCTGAGCCAGATTAAAGCTATTGGATACATTTTCAGACAATTCACACATGCGTGACATTATCTGAAATCTAGATCCAGATTTCTAGGTCAGAATTATGGCCAGAGATAGAATTTCTTTCAAGAGTTGGCTGTGTAATGTTCATAAAGAAAAAAGCTTATTTTTATAACCATCTTTCATTGTTTTCATATGATGTTTAAGCAGTTCTTCCTCTCAAAGTCTCATGACTGAATTCTGTTCATGTCAGAGTGAGAATTTGCGGGGGTTTAAAGTGTTTAATTGATGTTGTGTAAATGTTATGAAGCAAAAAATAAACAAATAATTGGGCTGGATTTTTTTGGGTCATTTCTTTGTACTACAGGACAGTGTCACAGCAGCTTCTTCTGAAGCGTAATCTGTGCTTTGCTTAATTTAGTAATGCAGACGTGCTCGTGTGGTGAAGGGTTCAGTGCCGTGTGTGCGAGTCTCCAGGAGTTTACCGTCGATCTCGTAGGCGTAAACTTCACCGTACATCATCCAGTAAGGCTGGAACACCACATCTCTGGCCAAACTCCACGAGGGATCCTCGTTTGGGTACAGAATGGCTTTCCGAGGAACCCCAAAGCTCAGCAGCACGACGGCCATGATGACCACGATGTAGAACATGTTGGCCACCTGCGGATGAGGAGAGAGTGCTCAGTGCTGGAGGACACGAGCGGCTCAAACACAGCTCTGCCGGTCTCTCACCATCTTCCCGATCATCATGACGTAGGGTCCAGCCTGCTGACTGACCGCCAGGATATCCAGCAGCCGCACGTACCAGAAGATGATGTTCAGACAGTACACGATCCGGCCCGCGATGAACACGCTCCCCGAGCCGAAGCGCAGGCCGAAGCCCACGAAGAACATCAGGAGCGCCAGGAAATCAGACACGTTGAAGTAGTTGCTGAACCAGACTTTAATCTTCTGACTGATTTTGCCTCCTTCAGACATGAACATCTAGAGAGCAAACACTAATGTGAGCCTGGAGCACAAAAGCAGTGTTAAGTCGCTGGGGTATATTTGTAGCAATAGCCAACAATACATAGACCTGTGACCTCTTGACCCTGGCTGTGGTCACATGATCACAGGAGAGTGCAGCTGCGTCACATCTCTGCTAGCGGCGAGTCAATCATCAGACGGCAGGTTAAACGCTCAGCTGCATTCTAACAAATACTGCTCAAATAATTAAACATTTCTGACATGCCTCGTTAAAACATCTGAACACACACACACACCTCTCGAATCTTCTCCACCGCTAGCGTGAAGATGTAAAGAATGACGACCCATTCCTGAGGAGACGGAAACGGCTCCATTCGCACCAGCACCACGTATGAATACAGCATCAGGAAACCGATATAAAAGAGCTAGAACACACAAAACACACCATTAGACAGATGACACATGGAGCTCAAATGTCCTCATAATCAGACACACAGCAGACGAGGGTCAAAGGCCTCAAATATGGAGTTAGGGTCATTAGACACTAATATCAGTGTAGCACTAATAGCAGTGACCAATCACAATCAAGAATAAGACACAAACACTCCATCACACAGTATTTAATCAGGTGTCTACGAAATAGTTATTTTCCTCAAATTTGGACTTTTTTTCTGGGTTTTTTATGATTTAATACAAATGTATCCCCCCAAAAAACGGTGGTGATTGTAATTGTAAAACTTAATTTTAAAATGGAATAAAATAAAAAAAAATAAAAAAATTGTCAAATAAAGAAGTGCACAATAGAGATTTACTGTGAAAAGAGATCAAATAAATCTCGATTGTATTTCTAAATAAAAATGTAAATACATTTAATAAAAACGTAAATGTAGTAAATTCTTATTACTTTACTTTTTACTGTTCAAAAATAATATATTTCTGCCATCATTTCATACGATCATTGGTTTTGTAGTGAAGAGCTTTGAGTTTCAGTGTGTATCTGATTAACTGCAAAAGCCCTTTATTGATCTATTCATCCAAAAAAAAAATTTTTTTTTATGACTGGATTCTGTGATTTTGCATTTTGTGTGTCTGGTACGATTGCACAGATGCTCAAGAATCAAGAGAACGGTAATTATTCAGATCACACACTCAAAACAATCATTATTTGCTTTTCTGACAATCTTTAATGTTTGATCAACACATTCACCTCAAACCCTTCAACTTACATTAGAAACGACAGATGAATGATCAACCGCTGCTTCACACACACACACACACACTCAAACACACACACACTCAAACACACACACACACACTCAAACACACACATACACACTCAAACACACACACACAAACACAGGTCTGGTTGAAATGTCACTAGTGAACCTTCCACTAGTCCCATGATGTTTATCAGTGTGTAACGCGGCGGGTTTATGCAGGAACAAGTGTCTCTGATATTATCTCATGGGAACAACAGCCCAGAACTCTTGAAGTGCTGGAAATCTCACACACAAACACACACACACGCAGCGTGAGAAAGGAGCCGCATGTACCGTGTTGAACCAGAACTTGACGATAGGTGCGTGGTAGAAGGCGTAGAACTTGCGTGTGATGGGTAACCGGCGGGAACGCACGTGAACCTCCGTCTCATTCTTCACATCATCGTTCTCATTGGGACGGGCTTCCTTAAACACATCCTGACAGAAACACAAACTCTGTCAATCTGTGCCAGTGCCATTGCGCAATGAGAAAACACACGCTGGTGTAAAGATTGACCGTTTCTGAGCATCGGTGATCAGAACAGCGGCGGAGGCACGTTATCACACTTCAGGCGTGATTAATGCTTCATCCGTACCATCTGGATGTCGTCAGGCTTCTGCAGGTTGTGCTCGCTGTCCTCCATGCTCTGATGAGCATCCTGCGACTGGGGAATGTGGGACATCTCCGCTTTGGTCTTGTACTCCAGCAGGAGGATGGCAGGAGCAACCAGGATGCTCAGGATCACCTGCACACACACAGACACACACACACACACACAGAGACACACAGACACACACACAGACACACACACACAGAGACACACACACACACACACACACACACAGCATCAGTTGATCGATCAATCGATGCACGAGGCTAGGGATGGCCGATAGCACTTATTTTGTTTTCAATACGATACCGATACTTTTAAAGGCCAGTATCGTGGATATCGATACCGATACTTCTAAACTAAACTTTTAAATTATGAAATGTATTAAAGGGGTCATATGATGCTATTTTAAAGATCATTATTTTGTGTATTTGGTGTAACAGAATCTCTTTGGATTTGAGACTTTAGTCTTTGCAACTTTACAGATCTTCTTTATGCACCAAGAGCTTGTAACACTCCAAAGAGAAAGGAACTATTGAAATCGCATCATATGACCCCTTTAAATTATTAAATTACTGAGAGTAAAATGGGTAATGATACCCACTTTATACTTGAAATGCATTTTAACATTCAATATGCCTTAATTGCAATTTATTAGGTTATATATTTGTTTACATATGATTAAAATATGTTTACTGTAGTGGTAACCATGGAAATCTACAAATACTAGAGTTGAACTAGTCACTTTAGTAAATCATGGTTCATGGTTTCATTAGGGACTGCCAGTGACAGGCTGTTGCACGCATAAAATACAACAGTGTATGATTTATATTAACATTACAGACTAGAACATGATCAATATGAACTTTAAACATTCAGTTTAAATAATTGTAATTGCACAAACTATGTAGGCTACAATTTCAATTTGTTTATTGTGAACTAACTCAAACACAGACGTTTTTTCTGTCCTCTGCTAAGCATTGTTCTGGGCTGCCGTTTTTAAAATTAAGATATTTTCTATTTAAGTATTGATACTTTCAATACTCGCTCGATACTGGAGTGCCGGGGCGGCTGTACCTTGTACCGGGAGTTCTTGCGCATGTTGAGGCGACCCATCCACATGTCGGAGAGCAGCATCTGTGTGCAGGTGTGAGCCACGAACGGCCGGAGGCGCGACGACACCGCCAGCTTCAGACAGGTGGAGTTGCTCCAGTTCTTCAGCTCGTACGTCAGCAGCTTCATGGCCATCGTCTCGTCCTGCCTGAACGACTGCTCCAGCAGATCCACCGCCAGCGTGCCGAACTCACTGAGCACACACACACACACGCCACTTTGGATAAAAGTGTCCGCTAAATGCATAAATGTAAATTTAAGCACTGAAATTCTCAAAATGCTTACTACAGCATTCCTGTAATTCTGTAGATCATGTCAATTATAACATAAACGTGATCCTGGAGCACAAAACCAGTCATATGGGAAATGTTTTGGAATTCACACAGCTTCACACTGTCTGTGTTGCCATGATCACTCATTACAAGCGCTTTTTGGGCTTGTTGTTTAAGCTCGGATCATGAAGCGATCGGGTTTGTGGAGTAATCAAAGTGAGCAGACACAAGTCGCTATATTTTGGTCTTTTGGCATTTGGATTTACTTCGGTTTATGGTCTTGTTCACTGATTTTTCTAGCAAGATCTGGCAACACGAACGAGGCATGGCTTGTACTGCTTTCCCTGTGATTCACCGCATATACAGAAGAGACACATGTATGCACGTTAAAAACGTCATTAGGGCTGCAACTAACGATTACTTTGATAATCGATTAGTTGGCAGATAATTTTTTCGATTAATCGGATTAAAATCCTATTTCCTTTATTTTAATTTTACTGACAAAAACACACTATTCCACATTCTGCCCAATGTCCTTCAAACAAATGTGCCAACTAAATGCTATGAAAACATACAGTGCTTAACAATTTATTAGACCACCTGTCATAAGAGAAAACGAAAAAAATATTTTAGGAATCTGTCAAAAAAAAAAAATTTCTAAAAATGTCATTTTTTTTGGCAAATAACAAACTGAAACAACTAAATAGTATTTATTCACATAATAACAAAAATGGCCTACTTTGCCTTTGATAACAGCTTTGTGGGCAGCACTGTGGGCAGACCCGACTAATCGATAATGAGAATCGTTGTCGATGATTTTCATGATCGATAATAATCGATTTTATCGATTAGTTGTTGCAGCCCTAAACGTCATTAACAACTAGTTGTTCAGTTCGGTTCCGTACACACTGCTTAAAATGTCTGTAAATGCGGTTGTCACTATTTCTATTTTTCGAGAGTTAATTCGGTTGTCACACCCGTATTTTAGTGAATTATGAGTGTACAGAACACGATTAAGCAGTAAAAGGTGAACTGACAACCGAATTTAGCTGCAGTGTGTATGTGGCCTTTGAAACTTGCAGCACTCATATTTAATCAATTAAAATATAGCCTTTTGACGTGAAAGCTATATCTCAATTCTTGTCTTTCTGTCCCCAAATTTAAGACATCGTTGTACTTTTAAAACTTTTTATGGCCTTAAATGGATAGTTCATCCAAAAATGAAAATTAGCCTGTGTTTTACTCACGCTCAAAGCATTCTAGGTGTTTTTTTTCAACAGTTTTCATCCCAAAAAAAAAAAAGTCTAATAAATAAATAAAAGTCTCCAGGGGGGGAATAAAGGCCTCCTGTAGCGAATCAATGCGTTTTTGTAAGAAAAATATCCATATTTAAAATGTTATAAACACTTTTCTCTCACTTCCGCTAACTGTTGACGTTCCGCATGCGCCTGTGCGCACATTTTATTATGGATGGATGCGCTTTATTTGACCTTATTTGGACTGTTGAACAAAAACACCCATTCACTGCCATTATAAAGCTTGGAAGAGCCAGGACAATTTTTAATATAACTCTGATTGGATTCATCTGAAAGAAGAAAGTCATATACACATAGGATGCCTTGAGGGTGAGTAAATCATGGGCTAATTTTCATTTTTGGGTGAACTATCCCTTTAAATCTGAAACGGGAAAATATTTAAACTGGATGGTAGCAGGATAGAATGGTAAAATACGTGAGAATCGCGGGAAAAACGGGAGGGTTGACAGGTATGATCACACTGAATCAACACTGAACTGACTGGAGCTGAATGAAGACACAGCAGCCTCATTTCTAATGTTTGCATCAATGATTCTGTTGTTTTTTCATTCATTACCGTGAAGCTGCTTTGAAACAGTCTGTATTGTAGAAATGAAGGTGACTCAACTCACTTGGAATACTCCTTCAGCTCCTCGGAGGTGTCGTCCACCACGTCGCTCTTCTTGGCCTCGTATCCCATGGAGCGCAGCAGTTTGCAGGCCACCAGAGCTTTGGCCATGGACTCCTCGCCGTGCTGCCAGAAGAACAGAGACATCTTCTGCCGCTTCATCAGCACGGCCCACACCAGCAGCTCGTTGAAGGGGTACGGGAACCTGCGCGTCTCCGGATCGTCGATGTCCACCACCTCCTCCTTACTCTTCTTCTTCTGCTGCTCGGAGACAGAGTCCAGCTGAGGAGGAAAAACACACGATCAAACACACGCTGCTGCGAGAGATGCGACAGACAAACACGCTCAAACACTCGTCTTACCCTGGGTTTGTAGGGCTGCGCCGTGTTGATGAAGTGATTGTGTCGCGTCTTCTCTTTTTTATCTGCCTGAATGCTGAAGGACTCATGGGAGCTGCCAGCTGTGTGTCGACCTGACCGCTGACAGACAGAACGGATGGAGAGACAGACAGAAAGAACAACAGACGGACAGAATGACAGACAAACGAACAGAAAGACGGACGGACAAACAGAAGGACGGACAGATATAGAGACAGACAGAAAGAAAGAACGACAGACAGATATAGAGACAGACAGACAGAACGACAGATATAGAGACAGACAGGCGGACAGAAAGAACGACAGATGGACAGACAGATATAGAGACAGACAGA